AGGAAAGTAGGTGATAGTCTGATGGATTGGGGTAGGGAGTTCCAGAGGATGGGGGAAGCCCTGGAGAAGTCCTGGAGACGGGCATGGGAGGAGTTACCAAAGTAGACACATTAAATAGAAAGAGTGCGATGTACACACTCTGCAATTCCAGCATAGAGCACAGTGTAGGACGCAGCAGGATACAGCATCCACGTCTTTCTGTAATCTGGACTCCAGTAAAATGGTGCGAAACACCTTCCATTTGCATCATTTCCGGTTTTCAAGTCCTGCGATTACAGGAAACCAAAGGACTCCTGGGATACAGGAAACGACGTCCCAGGAGACCTTGCAAATCGCCTTATGACATCATCACCTAGGCAGCCGGGACCGGAACTGCAGGTTGGCAGTGGATTTAAAGCAGTGGTTCTCAACCTTTCTAATGCCGCGACCCCTTAATACAGTTCCTCATGTTGTGGTGACCCCCAACCATAAAATTATTTTCGTTGCTACTTCATAACTGTAATTTTGCACTGGGAGGAATAGTGCCACGTCATTGGTGTCAGTGGGAGGAATAGTGTCCCATCACTGATGTCAATGGTAGGAATAGTGCCCCATCATTGGTGTCAGTGGGAGGAATAGTGCCCCATCATAGGTGTCAGTGGGGGGAATAGTGCCCCATCATTGGGTGTCAGTGGGAGGAATAGTGCCCCATCATTGGTGTCAGTGGGAGGAATAGTGCCCCATCATTGGTGTCAGTGGGAGGAATAGTGCCCCATCATTGGTGTCAGTGGGAGGAATAGTGCCCCATCATAGGTGTCAGTGGGGAGGAATAGTGCCCCATCATTGGTGTCAGTGGGAGGAATAGTGCCCCATCATTGGTGTCAGTGGGGGGAATAGTGCCCCATCATTGGTGTCAGTGGGGGGAATAGTGCCCCATCATTGGTGTCAGTGGGAGGAATAGTGCCCCATCACTGGTGTCAGTGGGAGGAAAAGTGCCCCATCACTGGTGTCAGTGGGAGGAATAGTGCCCCATCCACTGGAGTCAGTGGGAGGAATAGTGCCCCATCATTGGTGTCAGTGGGAGGAATAGTGCCCCATCATTGGTGTCAGTGGGAGGAATAGTGCCCCCATCATTGGTATCAGTGGGAGGAATAGTGCCCCCATCATTGGTGTCAGTGGGAGGAATAGTGCCCCATCATTGGTATCAGGGGGAGCAATAGTGCCCCATCATTGGTATCAGGGGGAGCAATAGTGCCCCCCCAACATTGGTGTCAGTGGGAGGAATAGTGCCCCATCGTTGGTGTCAGTGGGAAGTGGGAGGAATAGTGCCCCCATCATTGGTGTCAGTGGGAGGAATAGTGCCCATCATCAGTGGGAGGAATAGTGCCCCATCGTTGGTGTCAGTGGGAGGAATAGTGCCCCATCGTTGGTGTCAGTGGGAGGAATAGTGCCCCATCGTCAGTGGTGTCAGGGGGAGGAATAGTGCCCCATCGTTGGTGTCAGTGGGAGGAATAGTGTCAGTGGGGAGGAATAGTGCCCCATCGTTGGTGTCAGTGGGAGGAATAGTGCCCCATCATTGGTGTCAGTGGGGGGAATAGTGCCCCATCATTGGTGTCAGTGGGGGGAGGAATAGTGCCCCATCACTGGTGTCAGTGGGAGGAATAGTGCCCCATCATTGGTATCAGTGGGAGGAATAGTGTCAGTGGGAGGAATAGTGCCCCCATCATTGGTATCAGTGGGAGGAATAGTGCCCCATCATTGGTGTCAGTGGGAGGAATAGTGCCCCATCATTGGTGTCCCATCATTGGTGTCAGTGGGAGGAATAGTGCCCCCATCATTGGTGTCAGTGGGAGGAATAGTGCCCCCATCATTGGTGTCAGTGGGAGGAATAGTGCCCCCATCATTGGTGTCAGTGGGAGGAATAGTGCCCCCATCATTGGTGTCAGTGGGAGGAATAGTGCATCCCATATCATTGGTATCAGGGGGAGCAATAGTGCCCCAACATTGGTGTCAGTGGGAGGAATAGTGCCCCATCGTTGGTATCAGTGGGAAGTATAGTGCCCCATCGTTGGTGTCAGTGGGAGGAATAGTACCCCATCGTTGGTGTCAGTGGGAGGAATAGTGCCCCATCGTTGGTGTCAGTGGGAGGAATAGTGCCCCATCGTTGGTGTCAGTGGGAGGAATACTGCCCCATCGTTGGTATCAGGGGGAGCAATAGTGCCCCAACATTGGTGTCAGTGGGAGGAATAGTGCCCCGTCGTTGGTATCAGTGGGAGGAATAGTGCCCCATCGTTGGTGTCAAAGGGGGAGGAATAGTGCCCCATCGTTGGTGTCAGTGGGGGGAGGAATAGTGCCCCATCGTTGGTGTCAGTGGGGGGAGGAATAGTGCCCCATCATTGGTATTAGTGACACCAATGATTGGGCACTATTCCTCCCACTGACACCAATGATACTTACCTTGCTGACCCCTGCTCCAGCCTGGGCTCGCTCCCTCCCTCTCCCATGGTACAGACACTTACCGGTCAGATGTCTTCCTTCTCCGGCCGCTCTCCTCCTCTTCACTCGCTCGATCTTCGCGGTGCCGCTCGGCTCCTCCTTTCCAAGCTCCACCTCCTCGCCGGTGATTGGCGCCTGTGTGCCTCTCCTGAGCTACAGTTCCGGCGGCCAATCACCGACGAGGATTGATCCCGGGGGTGTGTCCGGATGACAGGGACTGCATGTCATCCCGCCCACACCTGGAGACGGACAGAGGAGCGGTGTCTCGGTTCCTAAGGCCATCGGAAATATGTGTTTTCCGATGGTCTTAGGCGACCCCTGGGAAAGTGTCGTTCGACCCCCAAAGGGGTCGCGACCCCCAGGTTGAGAACCGCTGATTTAAAGGTATGAATATTAAAAAAAAAAAAATCCAACTTGTTCTTTATTTCACAGGGGCAACATAATCAGGTAAAGTATGAAAAATGGGTGGAACTCCGCTTTAAGGTGTGGGTGGAAGGTACAGGTGCACCATCCAGGCCGGCTGTTGTCAGCCTCTATGACAAGCTGACAGTTGCTGCAGCCGTACTGGGATGGATGGTGCACCAAGCAGTCCTCATGTTTATGGCAGTATGGCCCAGACATGACTGCCCACAATGGAAGCAGACGGCTTGGGTTTCTACCATTTGTCCCTGCCCCGTGCTAGGGTTGCCACCTCATCCCTGTAAAACCAAACACATATTAATTACACAGGTTCTGAGGCCAATTTTATGCAGACAAGGCACTAAGACCCTGGCAGCACTGGGTGAGACTTGGCATGCAATTTGCAAATTGCATGCCAAGTCGCACCCTATTGTCCGCAATTACAGCGGTCATATTGGTGCGGTTTTGACTTGGTCGGAGATGCACCGATTTCTAAAGTAGTGCATGCACTACTTATGGTGTCTTGCAAATCGCACCTCAAAATGCAATGACATCCCAACTTTGAAATCGTGCGACTTACAGTCAATGTGATGGGGGTGTAAGTGAGTTTTATTGCCACCTTAATCAGCCACAGAACCTGTGTAATTAATATGTATTCGGTTTTAAAGGAATGAAGTGGCAACCCTAGCCTCATCCAGTCGCAGCAGCTGTCAGCCTCTCATAGAGTTTACTATGCTGCCGGCAGTGGAGATGAATGATGCACCTGCACCTTCCACCAGCACCTAAGTGCCAAAGCCTCATACGCCAGGGATAAACACCCATTTTGCAAGAGGCCTTAGGGCCAGTTCACACCATCCAACATCTGAATCGCACATGAACACACTGCAATTCAAACTGCATGAAAAAACGCACTACATCTGCAGTGGGTGTCAATAAAAAGGTAATGACACCCCAAATGCGGGTTGAATTTGCCCGTTCTGGATTGCATGGTACTTTTGTACCATGCGATCCCATTGCAGTGCGTTTTATAAAGTAGTGCATAGGGTTGCCACCTCATCCCTTTAAAACCAAACACACATTAACCACTTCCCATCCGACCCATGTATATAAAAGCAGTGCAGAGGAGGGTGGCCATTTATAAATGTCCTCCCCACTTCCCTGCTTGTGCGCGCGACACCGCGATCCAGTGCCTGCTGTGTCCTGATTGCTGTGTGTGGTCCCGATCGTGTGATCACTGATTTGCAAATCAGTAATCACATGAATAGTAGTAAGCAAGATGTCACTTCTGACATCATTGCTTACTACGTGTGAAATCTGTGAATAATCACAGAGGTCACATGGTACAAGGCTATTCACAACAGGCTTGTACCATGTGACAAGCTGTGACCAATCACAGCTCAGACAGTATTTCTCAATGGCTGCAAGAATGCAGTCAGAGAGGAAACATGATTGCTTTTACAGCCTTTATGGGTGTAAAAGCAATCAGTGTAAAAAAAGAAAAAAAAAATCTTCATCACCCCCCACAAGTAGTACAGTGTCACTATGGTGACACTGTACTGCTAGGGTGACAGTATGTTAAAAAAAAACAAAACAAATAATAATATTAAAAAAAAACAATGTAAAAAACATTTTTGAAAAATTATAATTTTTGGTTATAAATTAATTTGGGTTATTTTTTTTTTACTAAAATATAACTGAATAAATTTTGGCAAAGATTTATGATGAAATATTATTTATTTGCAACATTTTATAAGAAAAACACTTTTTTTCAAAAATGTTCGACTTTTTCATTTATATAGCAAAAAAAAAAAAAAATCCCAGTGGTGAATAAAAAAAACCAAAATAAAGTTTTATGTCTCAAAAAAATGCAAAAAAATTAATATGATTACAGTGCTGCATGACTGCGCAATTGTCATTCAAAGTGTGAAAGCATTGAAAGCTGAAAATTGGCCTGGACAGGAAGGGGGTGAAAGTGTCCGGACTGGAAGTGGTTAATTACACAGGTTCTGAGGCTAATTTAATGCAGATAAGGCACCAAGTGAGCTTAATGACCACCCTAATCAGCCCCAGAACCTGTGCAATTATAATGTGTTCGGGTTTAAAGGGATGAGGTGGTAACCCTAGACTAGTGCATGCAGCAGGGGCGGACTGACCATTTGGAAACTCGGGCACTGCCCGAGGGCCCGGGGTCAGTAGGGGGCCTCATGAGATGCCCCTGGTACCTTTTTGATAGGATTTTTTGAGTTTGGGCAAGGACACAGGGGCCCCATGATCCCTTATTGCCCGGCGGCCCCATGAGTTGTCAGTCCGTCCCTGGCATGCAGTATTTATGGTGCAATGAGGTGAGATTTCAACTCTTTCAAAATGAATGGGCTGAAATCACATTGTACAGAACCGCATGTGAATCGCACAATAACGCACAGCACGTTCCTGTGTGATTCAGATGTGGGCAGGGTGTCAACTGGCCCTTAATGTTCGCAAAATGCACATTCATGTTGCCTTGTCTAACATCAGTTTTTCAATAGACATTAGAAAATATGATAAAAATAATAAAAACATTATTTTTTATTTGTTTTACAACAGTCATTGCTAGGCCTACATTTGAAAAAAATTTAAAAATGCATCCATGTGGCACCACATGTCACCAACGTACTGTGGCTCTGTGACAGTGTATCCTACCTCCCAACATTCTCATATGGGAAAGAGTGACTAAGCACTAAGTATTTAGATAGAGGGTACAACCTTGCCATCCCCCATTCCCATCCATGAAAATCATGACATAATAAAGCTCAAAAATGCATCCATTGCACCCACTAGTGTGCTTTACACCAGAACTATATCTTGATACCAGTGTTTAAACATATCCAGGCAGGGGTCTCCAAACTTTCTAAATAAAGGGCCAGTTTACTGTCCTTCAGACTTTAGGGGGGGGCACACTGTGGCCACTGGAAGTAGAAGAATTCAATGGAAACAACAATGTCCAATTGATGGTGTCATTGGTAGGAATAGTGTCCCATCGTTGGTATCATTGAGAGAAATTATGCCCCATCATTGGTGTCATTGGGAGGAATTGTGCTCCGTCATTGGTGTCATTGGGAGGAATTGTGCCCCATCATTGGGAGGAACTGTGCCCCATCATTGGTGTCATTGGGAGGAACTGTGCCCCATCATTGGTGTCATTGGAAGGAATTGTGCCCCATCATTGGTGTCAGTGGGGGAATTATGCCCCATCATTGGGAGGCATTGTGCCTCATCATTGGGAGGAACTGTGCCCCATCATTGGTGTCATTGGGAGGAACTGTGCCCCATCATTGGTGTCATTGGGAGGAACTGTGCCCCATCATTGGTGTCATTGGAAGGAATTGTGCCCCATCATTGGTGTCAGTGGGGGGAATTATGCCTCATTGTTTGTATCAGTAGATTAAATAATGTCCCAAGGGCCGGATAAAAGCTAGCAAAGGGCTGCATCTGGCCCCTGGGCCGCAGTTTGGAGACCACTGATCTAAAGCCCCATTTACACTTGCGATTAGGGCTATAATGCAAATTCCAATGGCAAGAGTCAGAAGTTTCCAGCAGTCAGAATTGCCAAGTGTTTGCAGTTAGATGAAGCTATGTCCAGAGGTGATCATCTGTCCTAAACACAGGTAATCAATGTCCAATTACACCCAGACAGTCACTGATACCAGCGGCCACCATCAGCCTGTCATTGCTTTGCATAGGCTGAGCGGCTACACCTGTCATCTTAGCCACAGGAGGTCTCTGAGGCCTGATTCACACGGGCGCATCTAAGTGTACATCCGTGTGAAGGACCGTGTTTGCCCACAGGTTTTCTGTGCATCCGCATACAGGCCGTCCCATTGTCTATGCAGCGGCTGCACAGACTCATCTGCTGGTCCCAAACTGACAGTCCTGCTGGTGCATGTCCAGTGTGCTTTTATGGCCATGCACTTGCACCTGCACTAGGTGCATGGAACACACGTGCCCTTTGCATGGATGTTTTCTTAGATACACCCATGTGAATGAAACCTGATTATTGGTGCTATAATTCACACTGTAACCTTAATCAGAAGTGTGAATGGGGCCTTAAGGCTGAATGAAAAGTTAAAGGATAAGTTCACCTTTTTGGACAAAAATAATAAATGCACATTTTTTTGCAGGTAAAAAAAAAATGTTGATTTATTATTTTTGTCCAAAGGAGCCTGAAAAGCATTGTACCAGTGATCAGTAGATTGCTGATGCCATGCAGGTCTCCTGCAGACCTGTCAGAATGTCTGTTTGCCATACAGGATGTACTTCTCCCCCTACTATCTGCCAGAGGGAGGGGGGCAGCAGGCACGACTGCGGCTATGGGAACATGTTACATATTACATGCTCCACCCTAAAAATGGGTGGAACATGTAACATGTTCCCAAGGTGAACTTATCCTTTAAGTAAAATATAAGGACTTCTAGCAATTAAATAGTACAATTATTTTTTACGTTTCTACATTAATTTTTTTAAAAAGGGGACATTTTTTGAAGGGGTAGTCCCTTCAAATGACTGACAATTGGGAGTTACACTATATTGTCAAAAGTATTGTGAAGCCTGCCTTTACACACACATGAACTTTAATGGCATCCCTAGTCTTAGTCCATAGGGTTCAATGTTGAGTTGGGCCACCCTTTGCAGCTATAACAGCTTCAACTCTTCTGGGAAGGCTGTCCACAAGGTTTAGGAGTATGTCTATGGGAATGTCTGACCATTCTTCCAGAAGTGCATTTGTGAGGTCAGGACTCTGTGCAGGCCAGTCAAGTTCCTCCACCCCAAACTCGCTCATCCATGTCTTTATGGACCTTGCTTTGTGCACTGGTGTGTAGTCATGTTGGAACAGGAAGGGGCCATCCCCAAATTGTTCCCACAAAGTTGGGAGCATGAAATTGTCCAAAATGTCTTGGTATGTTGACGCCTTAAGAGTTCCCTTCACTGGAACTAGGGGGCCAAGCCCAACCTTGAAAAACAACCACACAAATAATCCCCCCTCACCAAACTTTACACTTGGCACAATTCAGTCAGGCAAGTACTGTTCTCCTGGCAACCGCCAAACCCAGACACGTCCATCGGATTGCCAGAGAGAGAAGTGTGATTCATCACTCCAGAGAACACATCTCCACTGCTCTAGAGTCCAGTGGTGGCATGCTTTACACCACTGTATCCGACACTTTGCATTGCACTTGGTGATGTAAGGCTTGGATGCAGCTGCTCAGCCATGGAAACCCATTCCATGAAGCTCTCTATGCACTGTTGTGCTAATCTGAAGGACACACGAAGTTTGAAGGTCTTTAGCTATTGACTTTGCAGACTGTTGGTGACTTCTGCGCACTGTGCACTTCACCATGCGCCGATCCCGCTCTGTCATTTTATCTGGCCTACCACTTCGTGGCTCAGTTGCTGTTGCTCCCAGTTGCTTCCACTTTGTTATAATACCACTAACAGTTGACCGTGGAATATTTAGTAGCCAGGAAATGTCAGGGATGGACTTATTGCACAGGTGGCAACCTATCACGGTACCACACTTGAATTCACTGAGCTCCTGAGAGCGGTCCATTCTTTCACAAATGTTTGTAGAAGCAGTCTGCATGCCTAGGTGCTTGTTTTATACACCTGTGGCCATGGAGGGGATTGGAACACCCTGAATCCAATGATTTGGAGGGCTGGCCCAATACTTTTGTCAATATAGTATATGAACATATTTGAAGGTCATACACTAAATTCCCGTGTCTGACTCCTACAATGATGTTGCTTGTATAGCATCTGACATCAGCATTTTTGGCTTTTAGTCATTTATTGGATGTGTAAGCTTCTGTGCTGCAGGGGAAACACTACTAATAATGGTAATTATTCAGCTTATTATTTCACACCTTAATTACAGGAAGAGATTATTTGTGAAATGATATGTACACAATTCCAAGGGTTTCATATCCTGACAAGAGGTACAACACAGGAAAGTCAGAAACTTATCCCCTTATAGTTCACCATTTAACAAAAATATAATAACTGCACTTTTTTTTCAAAAAATGTGCATTTAATACTTTTTGTCTCTGGAGCCTGTAAAACATTGCACCAGTGATCAGCAGATTGCTGGTGCCATGCAGGTCACCTGCAGACCTGTCAGTGTATATGTGTGCCCATACTCCTTGTACAGGCTGGCAGCCGCCAAGGATGTCGGACTTGTAGTGTTCTCATTCGCAGAATACTGGCAGAGCTGCACACGGCTGCGTATTTTTTTTTCTTCATTATGACAGCTGGCGGGAGGGAGAATATCCCCCGCTAGCTGTCACGACAGGGATCGGGGGGGCAGAAATCGGTCTATTATATATGGGTGTAACATGTAACTGAATATGGGTGTAACATGTTACGAAAGGTGAACTTATCCTTTAAAGCAGTATTAAACCCAAAAAACAAAAATGTCAAATATTGCAGCTCACCTTCTTAGATGTGGTGGCTGCATTTGTTTTTTTTTCCTTTATTTTCACCTTGTGATCTGGTGATCTGGCCAGTAAGTCTGTTGTTTTTCAACTTACTTTACTAGGCCAAGCTATCCAACAAAAATGAAGGTTAGAAGGTTGAGACAAGGTTGAGACAAACCATGTAACACTTGCACGGTGCTTACAATGATCAGCATCTTAGTTGGAGCCTAGGAAGTCGTGACGTCACGCCGCTGGGGCCACGTGTAGGCCCGGCAGCCATCTTGGAATCTGGATGGTCAGTCACTTGTACCTATCTAATGCTGCTGCACTGAATATACTGCTTTGAACCCATTTGTTTTTATTGTTTTTGCTACTTAATAAACTAGTACAATAATTTCTACACTATGGGTACTTTCCTCGGTCTCCCTTGAGGAGCTTTAATATTTCTAGAGCTTTGCTGCGATCCATCCACCAGACCCAGAGAGGGAAATGACCTGTAACCCAGGAATCTTCACCCGCCTATCCTTAAAGGGGACCTCTGGCACATCGGATCCTTTTCCATCCTATGAGGGCAGTTCACCACCATGAGTTCCAGTCCAGACCGTCACCAGAGAGGGGGGATCGTCATGATATTTACACATCGCATATTTTAAATACGCTTCTGGTTAGTGCGCGTTTATACCTTTTGCACAGGGAGCACCTTCACAGGACTGGAATTTGCCGTTTTCTCACCAGAGATCTTTTATTCTTCACTGATTGTTTTTCACCATTGTGTATATATTGTGATATCTATCAGATACTTTTTATTGACTATTAGCGCTGCATATATTATTTCTATATTATTTTCACACGGTTTTATCTGGTTTCCTTGAATGTTCAGCTGCTTTTATTTGAAG